TTTTTCCCCCCCCTTGAGATGGAGTCTTGTCTTTAACCCAGGCTGAAGTGCAGTGGCACAATCTCAGCTCACTACAGCCACCACCTCCTGAGTAGCCAGGATGACAAACTCACACCACCATATGCCCAGCTTTTTGTATTTTTTGTAGAGACGAGTTTTGCCACGTTGCCGAGGCTGGTCTCGAACTCCTGAGCTCAAGCAGTCTTCCCACTTCAGCCTCCCAAAGTACTGGGATTACAGATATGAGCCACCATGCTTCAGTCTTGATACTACCAAAAGGAAATTTTAGATTACCTTTAGATAATATGCCACGTTATCTAGGAATTTAGCCTAAAAGGTATAATTACTGGAATTTTAATTTTTTTTTAAGGCTATTTATGGCTGGGCTCAGTGGCTCACGCCTATAACCCCAGCACTTTGGGAGGCCGAGGTAGGTGGATCACTTGAGGTCAGGAGTTTGAGACCAGCCTGGACCAACATGGTGAAACCTTGTAGGTGTGGTGGCACACACCTGTAATCCCAGCCACTCGTGAGGTGGAGGTTGCAGTAAGCTGAGATCATGCCACTGTACTACAGCCTGGGCAACAGAGTGAGATAACATCTCAAAAAAAATAAATTTTTTTAAGTTATTTGTATACCAGTGTCACTACTTGGGACCTGAATATTTGAAACAAAAAATTATGTGCAGTTCTTTTTGCCCTTTTTTTTTGTGACTCAAGTCTATTCTGTTCCTCAGTGTAGAACTAACTTAGAAAAGAGCCCTTCAACATTTTAGTTACCTTTCTTGGTTCCAAGTATAAGGAGTAGACCTTGGCTCCATGGAATTTTCTCCTTTGCATTTTCCTGGTTTGTTTTCCTAGACCCTCTTTTTTCATTTCCTCTACACAGATTGGTGAGGAAATGAGCCAGAACAGTTTCATAAAACAGTATCTGGAAAAGCAGCAGGAGCTACTTAGGCAGCGTCTGGAACGTGAAGCTCGAGAAGCTGCAGAACTTGAAGGTAAGCCCAGATTGTCACTTTTAGCAAAGAGTTC